AAAATCTTTTGGCATATTGTTACATCACTAATGTTAATCTACTGAATTTACTAGGTTATAGCTAACTGAGGCAATCACCATATGTGAATAGTATGCTTAGCTAAATTGTCAACTGGCTTTCTATCTTTTCGATCAGAAATATATGCTAACAATGAAGTTATCATAGCAAACTATAAAAAATCAAATAGGGAAGCTAAAAACCTAGGTGGCTATGCTTGATATCTAAATATTAATGTTATGAACGAACAATATGATTTTTGCAACCAGCTTAAACAGCATTAAATGAAATGCTGCCGTGCCTATATGTCAGAAAGTTTAATAAAAATTACCCTCCAATGCCTCAAGTTTGGTAATCAATCAATCTGCAGTTATTTGTAAGGTATATTGTAAACATGAGTTTGAAAAAAAAGTTGACGAATTTATTTACATTTTCAACTGGATGTGAGAGGGATATTACCACAATGCTTATTTGATATGTCAGCAAGTTTTGTCGATGACAACTTAATCGGTTTTAGAATCTTGTGAGCAATGCGCATTTTCCAAAGTTAAGAGATTTTGCTTTGAGAGCCTTATAGATGTTCGAAAGCATTTACATTTGCGAAAGCATTTTCTCCGTTAGGAAGAGTTTAAAATCGTACACCAAATGTAGATATAGAAAGACTTTGCTTGATTTAGTGGGTTTTTGTGATTTTCATGTTCCAGCTCGATATATGACGAATACTGATCAATGTGTTTACATAATAAAAGTATTTGTTATGTATTGCATTGTTTACATATTCTTTGCACTATTGTGGCCCATGAACAATGCAAAAATAATTTTGCGGCCCCCGAAGCCGATCACGTTGGACCAACCTGGTAGATAGCAATTGATTTGGACATAAAAAATTATTCGGGTCTAGATCAATGGTTATCAAACGGTGGGGCAAGACTCAAATGAGGGGGCATAGACAAATTTTTGAGGGGGCGGGAAGCTAATTTAGAATTAAAATATTTGTTAAATTTGATCTTGTCCGCCTTATTTGTTTTCAAAAAACATACTTTCGCCTCACTATCTGTTATTTATAGCTTATTGTTAGCTAGTTATTTTTGAGGTGGGGCGCGAGACTAAACAAATTCTAAAAATGGGGCGTGGCTTAAAATGTTTCAGAACCACTGGTCTAGACTGTCAAGGAAAGTCTTTAGACAAATTATCTGGTTGCTCATTAAACTCTTCGATGCCAGAATAAACGAATAATATTTTGATTTTTGTCCAACTTTCATGATCATCACTAGAAATAACCAGTCATGTTTAAATTTACCACTATTTAGAAATACTAATCTATTCTAATGATTTTATGTACTATGTGTAGACGTGAGTTTCAGGTCCCAGTCTTGAGTTAGATCTGAGTATTTAGGGTTGACAGCTGTTAATTGCATTAGTCAACAATGTTGTCGAAGTCAGAAACAATGACTTGCAACTTGCAAGTCTACGAAACAATGTCTGCAAGTCTGAGATGTTAGGCCATAATTTTAGGTACAAATACTACAGGAGTCACTTGGCTAGTACCTGAACTCGTAATGGAACTAAAATTAGGAAAATTGAAATAATATTATGGCCTGTATATTATGAATAGTCATTGTTTCCTCAACATGCTTTCCACCTTTGTAGTTCACATTTGTGGTTCTTATTATTTGCCAATATTATGTTCTCTTTGCATCTCAAATTTTATATGTCTTTTTTTACACATAATTCATTTGTTATATTAATAGTTCCACTGCTGCTGCAGGAAATTCCCCTAGTAGTCAACATCGTTATGCTACGTCACGTATGTCTGCAATTTCCTTGTTGTGGGCGTGCTCGCTGGAGCATGACGTTGAGTTGATCTAGTTAGTCAATACTTTATTTACTGAATTTTCCATTCTCGCGTAATTTTTAGTTCCCAAATTGTTTTTAATTATTTATGCTGATTTACTTCTGTATTGTTTGACTTAATCTGCTTCTATGATGGTGTCGCTGACATGATGACTTTTAATAGTCTTTTCGCTACCCCTCGTCCATTGCAGTTCAAATATTGTACTTTTTTCTTTCAATGAATTTATTTAATTTTTACCATTTGTTTAAATGTACAATGTTTTTGCACGACGAAAAATAAATATCTGAAACTGAATATTTAGGTGTACCAAGCGAAAAAAAGTTGGGAAGCTCCACAGTAGGGCATAATGTCCAAACATAACCCAACCTCTGATACAGTAGCATAATATGCCCATCATATTATGATAAAATTTGTGTTCGAATACCTTATTTTTTGCTACAACAACCCACTCTCAAAAATAAATTTCAAGTCGAAAATTGTGAGAAAAGGGAAGTTAATCCTATAATCCATTAGATTGCGGTTCTCAAACTGGTGGTAACAACTAAACACTTTTTTAAGGAGTAAATTTATTGTTCACCGATATTCATGTACTTGTACTTGGTCACACTCATAGTTGCGGTATGTGTAAAAATAAACTACTGGCTGACAGACTACAAAAATGACAACATGAATTTTGCTGTATAATGTATGATGAATCACTCTTTGAGTCATGTGTTAACACAGCGTGATACCGTTAGGCTAGTCAGCTTTGTGCTACCCAATACTTCAAATACTGCGAATACGTTTGGCATTGAACCTAACATTCAAGGACTTGTTAATTGAAGCGCAGAAAAAAATACACTCATCTCAATCATCACATTGATAATAATATTTGTTTTATGCTTTGTTTTATTTAAATATGTAGGCCTAATTTTTTTTTTTAATAATCCACTATAGTTAGGGCCAATGTTACTGTATATGTCCCTATAGATCACTGATGTCTTGAAATAAAAGTATTTGGTTCGCTTATTCAACCTTCAACTCCAGAAACTTTTGATTTTTGTCCAAATTTTGTGATCATCTTCACCAGTAATAACCAGCCATACTTGATCAGGATTCAAACGTACTAATCTTGTTAGTGTTCAAATCTTCTAGGATTTGATTGAATTGTCTGAAATAACTATATCTGGCATGGACAGTGTTATAATTGAAGTAAATCATAGATGGGCCAAATTTGATAAATAAAATACTAAATTCAACTATACAAAATGTGTTTGTATGTAGCCCATTTCAATATGAAGGAATTTGCATACAATAAGCAATGGAATAACTGTTGTTTACAAGCTGGCTACCAGAAAATTTATATCCACCGATTGCCGTGCAATTTTATAGTACTTTGCTATTTTTATTTACGTTAGTACGAAAATACGAATCAAATTTAATTAAAATCGGCCAGTTCACCATTTTATATCCACAGATTGTCGTGGTATTTTAAAGTTGTAATGCTCTTGTTTTTCGTGAGTAGGAGAATACTAATAAAAAATTAATTATACTCGGGCAGTTTAGCACACATTTTATGTCCCCAGATTGCCCCGATATTTTAGAGTTGGGAATGCTTTCATTTTTTCGTAAGTGGACACAACCATGAGTTATGCTGAATAGAATTAAATTAAAATACGGCAAGACATTTCAAATGATTGTATTCTTCATGGATTTGAATATTTTGTCGCAACAGAAAATCATCCTAGCTAAAAGTCGATACTTTTTAACTATCATCAAAATTGTTTGCCAATAAGCGGGAAATAGTATATATAATTCAGCCGTTCCCAAACTATGAGTCGCGACCCACTGGTGGGTCGCAAAAGGAATCTTAGTGGGTCGTGAAAAGATGTAGAAAACTTTGAATAATTATATATACTGGTTATTAGGATCGGTGGCGACTTAAATACGTAAATCTTCAAAAAAAAAAACGAAAGAAATTAAATTGAATTTAAATTATAATCTGTGAAAGTTTCCTTTTTACGATCTTCTCAAAGGACTTAAAATTTGCTACACAAAGAATGACCATGTGGTTTTACGCATATCAGTTTTGAACACTGTACAGCACTTGTTTCGGTGTTTCCCCGACAGGATTTAGATTTATTTTCTTTCGAAGAATAACACTATGGTTTTTTTGGAAGAGGTCTTTTGTGTTCATTTATCAACAATAAAATTACATTGTAGAAAATCACAAGATTTTTTACTAATTATTATATAAAAATCGACAACTGTTTTTATTTGTATTTTCTATACAAAAATCAAGTTACAAATATCATAATTGTGATCGTGACATCATACAATCTTGAATAGTGGTGTCATCTTCACCTTACCTCAGGTCAATGAACCTTTCCTCTCGCACATATTTTAAATTTATTCTAAGGGTAGGGTTTAATTATAATCATTTTCAAAATTCAAATTATTATCTTATTTTCAGGCCAGGCCTTTTTTTCGAGGAAAGAAGGTAGTTTTGCGATGATTAGTCATTGATGTGTTCTGTGTTATACCATAAAAAAAAACAAAAGAAAATTAAATTAAAGTTAAATGGGTCGCCATAAGCTGTGGTAATAGATAGTGGGTCCCAACTCTAAAAAGTTTGGGAACCACTGGACTATAATCTTTTTTTTCGTGATTACGAAAATCCAAATCAAAAGGGATCAGGAATCACATAAATTTTGAAATATTCAAGGCGAAGAGAATATTGGTAAAATTCCTTTATTTTGTCCATAATGCCTGTTTGTGTTTTGTAACAAATAGCATAGGATTCGGTATTCTAGATTTGATTCAAGTATTCTTGAATAGTAAATTATTCTACATTGCCCATTTGTGGTTTGTGGAAGAAGTCTCAAACTTTAATTGACTACATGCAAAACCTTGGGATGGTAGGACATGGCAATAAAAGCAAGAAATGTTGTTAATATTTGAAGCTTTTCAACCGTACCCAGAGTGGACTTGTCAGCTTTGAACTGTTGTGTAGCTTGGCATTGTTGTTCATTTATTAGCATGTGAGTGTAAGGCGTGTTATGGTTGAATATGACTTTTTGATTTTTGACTAAGACCTACCTAAACCTTTTTTGTTTTTGAAAATTTATTCATCTCAAATTATTCAACAGATTTTGTAACATTATAATACTTTGAATGGTTATCAATAGCATATCCTCCATGTTATGACTATATTTGGACTGCTTTTCTTGAAAAATGGCTGATCAAGACCAACCACAAGAGGAAGCTAACGTTGTGAACATTCAAGGTGAGGATCAGTAGAATTTTAATAGATAATATTGCATTTTTAGAACAAGATTGTAATTGAAAACCTGAAGTGATGTTTACATTTCATATCAAGTCAGGTGTTTAATAAATTACTAGTTGACTAGTGTCAGTATTTCTCAATGTCTATGTCTGAACCTTTCCAAATATTAGTTTGCCAATTTTAGTTTGAATCGTAAATCCTTTGTTTTCATTTTTTGGAGAAATTGAAAACCCTTGTTTTATTGAAAGCAATCTATCATATGTAGTTCATTCATGAACGATGTTGAACCTTTTTTTCAGATGCACAAATCAATGAACTGTATGCAGCCATTGTGAATCGGCTTCATGCTCAGGCAGACATAGTTCAAGTGGGTGACATTCAGCAAGCTCATGCAGAGTTTATTCATGCAGACAATGTTCAGAACCTCCATGTGCACTATGACAATAATGGTATGTTTTTTAAAACTGTTATTATTTTTTAGCAAGCAATGTTTTTCTTTTTAATCCATAAATGACTGTTTCAATTTGAATAAAATATTTATCCTGAAAGTATTTTTTTTTTCAAATTTCAGAGTAAAATTTAATGCAAACTTTTTGAACAACCCTTGTTGTTACCTGACAAAACAAGTCTTATGACTGATTACTTGAGTGAAAACGAAAATATGATATTTTCATCCGCCTCATTGAATAGCAATGACTGCCCAGTTTTATCTAATGCTATATGTCTTTAATGCTATATCTCAAAACAAACCGTTCTATTCAAGTAAATATTTATCATTAGCAGTGGCGCAGCCAGTTTATTCTCTCTAAATCACAAATTTGTGCCACGATAAAGATGATAATTATTTTAATTTTGTACTTGCACGGAATTGTAAATCCGCGATCTAAATTTTTTTGATTGAAAAGCGGCAAAATAAAATAATGAAAATCAAACCGTAAACAATATAAGTTTTGTTGAGTCCCATGAAAGTCTAAAAACGCTTTTCTAGGCATTGAAAATCGCAAAATTTAGTGTGCCTACGGCACACATTATGTTTGCTCGTCGTTTAGGAACATACCGTCACTAAAATCGGAACACCGTTAATTGTGGGCGGGGTTTGCGTTTTTATTCATTACTTTTATATTGTTTTCTGAAATTTTTGTGTTATCATTAAACAAAACGCGATTTTTTTTTCCCGGTTTGTGATGATATATAAGAAATTAATCTGAAAAATATCGATCAATGTTTATTGTACTGAAATAAATTTTACTCATTAATTTCACATGAGAATTTACAGAAGATTTTTCGAAAGGTTTTATCTTCAAAAATAATCGGAGTGACAGCATTGCGATTACAAGTACATCTCAAATTTGTCGAATTCGCAAAATAGAAAAAAAAGCACGGATCAAAACAATATAAAATCGGGCAGTTTACCACACATTTTTATGTCCGCGGAATTCCGTGGTGTTTTAAAGTGGCTTTTGTTTTGTCGACGCAACCGCAGATCAAATTGAACACAATTACATTTATAAAGCAGGAAATTTTAAATATGCCCTTATCGGTCATGGATTGATTACTTTGCACAAGAGAATAATCATTTTTCGTTGAAAAAGTCGGATCTTTTAAGTGGCGTAATCGCGGCGACTGTTCGGCATGGATTTTGAGGCGGTGAATTTGTATTTTTGATTTACTGGTATACTTTATATCTATTTTCATTGTATGAAGTAAAATTGTACTAAACGTGATTTTATACCAGATATCAAGATTTTACCAACGGCGATAACGGGGTCGCAAGATTGCAAAAGTACGTATCAAAATTGAATACATCAGGCAGCTTCTCTCATATTTTTATGTCCACAGATCGCCTTGGTATTTTATTGCAGTAATGTTTTTATTTTGACGTAAGAAGTCGTAACCGCGACTTACGTTGGACACAATTGAATTAATATATAAGGACATTTTAGAATCTCGTAGTTTCGTGAATTGGATATTTTACGCGACAGAAGCTGAAAAGGCGGCTTTATTAATAACGAGCGCGTGATCGTGGTGATTGTTACAGACGGCACTGGAAATTACCGATTTTGAATCCCCCCCTTTTGAAAATCCTGGCTGCGCGCCTGATCATTAGCATTTACTTTTCATCGTTGGGTCCCCCCAAGTCAAGTCATGTGGTTACACATTGACAAACAGTTAACAATTTTGAATGTACTATTGTACTATGAGCGTTTGCTTGTTGAAAGTTCAGTTCCACTTTATTTGACACCAAACACTCATCTGTGGTGATAATTATACAGTCTTTAGTATTCTTGAATTATTATTTAAAATACGAAATCGAAATTGTGTACATACACTTATCAACCATCAAATTTTACCAACTTCACAAAATTGATAAAAAACCTTTAAATTGGACCAATCTCATGCCACTCACTGGTAAACCACATTTATTTTTCGTTTTAGCCGTTTAAACAAAAACCATGGTCATGAAAACTTATCTTCTATTCAAATTAAGCATTCGACTTCGACTCTGGACCAAAAGCAAAATATTTTCAACTTCAGTTTCAATATAAACTTACTAAACTTACCCTAATCATTTTTAGTTCTGCACCCTCCAGCTGCACCACAACCTCAAGTACAAGCTGATGAAGCTTCTCCCAGGACTATGCAAGAAGAAATGCCGTCGACTTCAGGTATGAATCACGAATCATATCAAGTATTTTTATTATGAATAAATATAAAGCCAAATTACAAGCATTCATTCAGAATTCATGAACAATAAATGATTTGAACTTTTGTTATGTAGGAGACTGCTTTTGAAACTCAGTTTAATCAGTCATGGATGTTCTTATGAGCTTTTTGAAAAGACACTTATATTTCTTTATCCTGTATACGCCCACTATGACTATTATGTAAATGACAGGACGGGGGTAGAGGAAAGTCGATAAAACAACTCGATCATATGGCAACCATGGTCTCTCGTCTGGTTACCAGTCCATGCCGGTTATGGGGTTAGTTAGCCAGTTATTCGTTTCATCAAGTCCATGCTTCCCAAAACAAATAACTGGCTAACTAATCCCATACCTAGGGTTACCATATTTTTGTGACTTCAAATCGGGACGCCACGAAAGACAACGACCCCTTAGCTGTGATTTTATAACTTCACATTTTCCGATTTTACTACATAGGCCTACATTCCTACATTTAAAGCTGTCTCGACTGTCTTTATTGACCATATTGTTATCGAAATTTCACGCGCATATTCTCTGTCCAAATATCGGGTTCAGTTCGAAAAATAGGAAGGAATTGACGTTAACGATACTGGTACAAATAATTCGAATTTAGACTAATTAGTATTGGTTTTACATGCGATACGTCTGCCATCAATGGGAATCAGCGGGAAACGGACGCATTCACACTCAGTTAGGAGGCTAGCGCTGCGCTACACAGAAACAACAGTAACGAGAACATGTTTGTGTATTATGCTGGAAAAGCGGGACTTTTGGTTGACTTATCGGGACGGCGGGACAAAACGCTGAAAAGCGGGACTGTCCCGCCTAAAGCGGGACGTATGGTAAGCCTACCCATACCCGACCTGGACTGGTAATCGGACGAGAGGAAGTGGTTTGCCATATGACTAAACCGTCTTATGGCTTTCCTCTCCCTCTGGATGAATATGTAAATCTTATCTCGGTCTGCATACATGGACTTGGAAATGGAGGAAATCGTAACCGACCACCGGTTACATGAACCACCCTACGAAGCCTGTGCGAAGTCCAGCCATACTCTTGCATATAATTGTCCACCGCTGTATTTGAACCCACACAGGGTAATCAGAGGTGAAGTGGCTACTGCATTTTCAACGCTCAGCAAAATTCATGCTTTGGACCTCCTAACAAGTTTCAAAGCCCCCAACTTTTTTGACAGTTTTACGTACATAGCGTCTGACACTTTCCCAATTATCTTGATTTAAATTTGTCTACACCGGTTCTAACATTTCCAAATAAAAACAGGCCAGAGTTTGGTCATTTTTCTGAACATTCTATGTCTTAACTCTATCTTAGAAATGTTTTGTTCAAATTTGCCTCCATTTGATCAGAATGAGTTTATAATATTTTCAGTAACTATTTTGAGTTTATATTTATAATTTACTTCAGATGAAACTACAAGAGCTCAAAGAATGAAGGGATCCACTGATGCCAAACTTGCCTCAGATGATTTTCCTTGTCCGGTCTATGAAGTGGTGCCTATACCATCAAGTAAGTGTATAATCATATCTATTAGTGCTTCGTTTATGCAGATTGACACACTTGTAATGTATGTATGTATGTTTATTAGTCTCGTAGTAGTAAGCAATATAAAAAATTGACAATATTAATATTGGAGACGGGACGCATGCACAAGACCGTACTGGCCTAAAACACAAATGTGTGACATGCACCCCTTTTGACAAGTACAGAACAAAAAATGTTAGATTAAATGCATATGATATGGTCCCTTATACAGACAATTGTGTAAGGTGGGGCAATGGGTTGGTGTGGCGAAAGTGGTAAGGGAGGAGTACACAGAACTGTTTATACAAGGGAGTTTATAAGACAAGACAATATGTATAAATAGGGACAACACAATACACCAAATACATATGACCATATACCGGAATATGAATGGGCGAAATATAGGAGGTAATAATTGGATCTCTGCTCTAAGAGACCCTATTCTCTGTCGTTCTGTCCGTTTGTCCAGCTGTAGCGTGCCCCCGGGCGGTGCCGATCTGGATGAAATTTCTCACTTGGGTCATTCTTCCACCCTAGCAATGTGAGGTTCACCGAAAGTCCGGATTAGATATTTCGTGTCCATGACAGAAGAAAGAATTGCGCTGATCATTAAGAAATTTCCAATTTTCTCACATTTTATTACCGTTTTCAGGTTAACTATTTCAAAAATTGAATTATGAGAACGCTGAAAAGCGATCAACGCAATACTGCACTAGCTCAGTGTATCCCAACCGCTGTTTTTCTTGCCGGTCCGCGAAAAAATTTGCTTTGTTGTGAGCGAGTCCACTCCACCGAACCGAATCTGCATAGCTTTGTGAATCGATTTCATATTAAATTACTTTTAGAAATGGACTTATCACCAAGTACATATTGAGGATGTTTTTTATTCACAAAGAAAATATTCAGTTGCACATTTTCCCATGTGTGCTAAAAACTGTATATAATAAATCGCTCTTCCTATTTTATAATATCAAAATGTTTTGTGCAGTCAAAAACACAAGCAAAATATATTACGGTATAAATAAGACCCGTTCGCATTCATTCTTTTTTATTTTCATGATTTGTGTCAGTTCAATATTTTGTTTCCGGTCCGCGAGGTAATTTTATTTGAAGTCACTGGTCCGCCAAGGTGAAAAGTGCTTCGCAGCTGAAAAAAAAAGTGCGAAAGCGCTTTTGCCGATTTTAGCAAGTTAGGTGCCCTAGTTTCTGCTTAAATTCTTTTCAAACAGCATAGATACTCGAAAAAGCGCTTCTTTGGTTACTATTGCGAATTAAAGATGTGCCTTTCTGTTAACCAAGTTTGTTTAAACCCTTTTTTTTTAAACAAGTGAATTCATCGGTAACAAAGGACACCTGTCGCGAACAAAACTTTGTGAAATCAAACCAACCATGTCAGTTGCGAACCGTACTCCTTTCCGTGTACAGCAATGCCTCGCACATTTTTGTTACTCCTTCCATCCAACAGACAGCAATTAATACATGCAGCAATCGATATTAATCAGGGGCGTAGCCAGGAATTTTCAAAGTGGGGGGGGGAGGTTGGGGGAAATTTAGGTATGAACGAAATGTCGCACAACCTGAAAATAGTATGTGCACCAGGTTAGGGTCCAGGTTGTGCGTCATCTTGGTATGAATACTTTCGGAGCGCCGAAATTTGTAATTGCCAAGTTAGACAGCAACAGGTGGTCTGGCCGGAGGCCGCGAAACGCGAGTTTCTAAGAGAACTGATGTTCTAAAAATTGCTATGTGTGATACAGAATGTTTCTAGAAATCGAAACTGAATATGTCAGGATTTGCCAGGAATAAGGGCATCAAATGGAAATTGCGGACTGAATGGATGTTTCCCCGAGCATCGACTTCCTTGTTTACTTCGGGACATGGCCAATCAGCAAGATGCAAAGAGTGACGTGGTTTCGCATCCGCTGAGACACTTTTCTCGCTCAGACTGATTTTCAGGCGTCGTCGTAAACATTACCTCGTTTTCGCGTTTTTGAAATCTATTCGTTAATATTTAGTTCTGTTTCGAATATCTAAATGTAAATCAAATAATTCAATGATCACTTTGTCTTCTTAGAAGTTTCAGTTTAACTGCAGTAATAAAAAATTAGTGTGGAAATAGCTGCAATAGACTAGGCTAAAATTCTTCACCGGTACTTTCACAAAACAGATTGTTGAATGCTATGAATGAGAATAATGGTTTGAAGCTAAATACCCCATTTTACAGGCGCCAACTCGCAAAACCACTCTTTAAATAAGCACCGAAAATTTTGCGATGGTAAAGTATAGGAAAAAAATTTACGGGGGTCAAAGGTCGGGGAAAGGTCCATAAATCGCCTTATTCAGTCACAATCACGTCGCTTCTACTTGACGGCATCCGGAGCCATAAAATTTTATGCGCTTATTCGGCGCGTGGCAAGTCGCGCCTATTAGTCGTCGTTTTTACACTTTCCAAAAGGGGGGGGAGGGGTGGGGTTCCGAAGTAAGAGTTACGAGGAAGTATTCACCTACGAGACGGAAACGATAAATATGAGAAATCTTTCAGTTGTGGTGTTTTTTCTTTCTGCGCCTATCACATCTGTTCAAGAAACGTCAAACCAGATAGAGTAACACAAGTAAATAATGTATTCTATGGAAATTTCCAGAGATTTTGGCGGGAATATTATTTTGACCATGTAGAATTGCTATCATTATTTAATCAGTATATTTAATTCAAAGCAACACTGAGTGTTCACGCAATGACGATTTTGCAAAGTGTTTTATTTATCATTTAATACGAAAATAACACAGAAACGATAGAAACTGCAATCATAAAAAGTCAGCTATTGTTAGCTTTATAAATATTTTCATCACGGGGTCAGTAATGATAATATTGTTCGCTAAAAACTCGGACCATAATTTACAAACTGTTATCGAAACAGACGATGAGATCAAAATAAAATTGAAAGGTTTATGAATTCACTACTTAAGTGTCTTCAACATTTTCGCCCATGTGAACTCATAGTTCGGCTTGAAATATAAAAATAACTTCAATGTCCGCCGCTGCGTGAGAATTATTACTTGTGAAAAAAGTGCTTTAAAATATACTGCAACAATAATTAGGATGTCGGCCGCTGAAACGGTCGCCGTGCGATTGTGACAAAATTAGGAAGCAAAAACTCCGCCTTGTTACCGAGTTTTCAGTCTTTAGTGAGTTTCTATAAAAATAAATATTCGAATTATTCCATTAGAAAAAATCCGATTTTGCCCGTTTCTAATCACGTGTAGGTAAATACTCATAGAATGACAATAAAAAGATTAACATTGAATTACCAGGAGTAATAGTTTCACACATTTCATGGACATTTAATCGATGTTTTTGTGCATATAAACGATTGTAACACCATTGATACTCACGAGTTTTTCTTTTCTCTTGAAATTAATTTTTACAATTTTTATTTCTCACATTTGTTTCTCTCCGGAAATACCTCATTTATGAAAAAAATACGTTACGTGGTTACAACTGATTGCGAATTAAATAGTGGTCGAAGATTAGCAAGTATATTCTTGAAATAGGCATATCAAATATTCACCAAACGACTACAGAGGGAGGCGAGCTACACGAAGCTCTGGAATGTATTTAACAGACGTCTCACGGAGTTGTATATTGTACGATTAAAGCACTTACCGGTATTTAATTTTACTATAATATTATTATTATACACCTATTTGAGCATCCGGGACAATTTCTAATTTGAAATAAATGAAAACCCAACAAGAACATATCCTAACTAATACACAGATGTAAAATATAAACATTAATTAAAAAAGTTATTATTCAAGGAAGACAACATGATCGTACAATTCCGCCCGATGTTGGCCAGTGAGATGATAAATAAATGCTTCCTGTGTATTCGATCAATCAACTTTAGCGAATCGTTGTTTTGCAAATAGCAGGGGTGCAAAATATTTCCGTCCAGTGATATACCGTACTCACAAATATTCTCCGCAATAAAATCATAACCTCGCATATCAGTGAGAAATAGTTGCATTTAATTTTTGACTCTAGTCAAAAGTACGATTTATAGAGAATGAATAGATAATATTAAATATCGCAAAATGGCACGTGCTTTTGACATTCGTGGTTACAATAAAATGGCTGTTAATACGACCTATGTATTTGGTGATTTCGCAAATCTGTGAGAGGCTGCTAAAAGTTTCTTCTAATTCAAAAAAGAATGGCCTAGGTTTACATTCGTTACAAAGAATGTATCGGGTATCAGAACTTTTTGAATGGCTCCAATAAATTCACTGCACTGAGGAAAAAACAAATCCTGTCAAACTTGCACTTGAAAATCGTGTACTTTGGTCACAATTCATCGATATCATTGACAGTCACATGACCACTCTCGTTTGAAGAAACGCACTGCGTTGTATTGGACGTCTGGTTTCATAGAGGCCGCCAACTGTTTTTGCGGGAGAAGCGCAATGGTGGGCTTGTATAATAATCATATTATAAACAAGAATTTCGCCGTTAATGGGAAAGCTTTATCTCATATGTATGCACCACATAGGTTAGAATTCCAGCAAATATTATTATGTAATTCAAAATTGGGTTACAAAAGTACTAGTAGGCAACTTATTTGTCAACTTCATACTCGCACGAAAATAATTGTCAACTTTGAATTTTTGCCATTCAAAATCGGAAAAAAGTGCTATTTCGCAGTCCCTAAGAAAAGTTGCAAAAGTGCAAAAAAGTGCGCTAATAGTGAACACTGTTGGGAACTATTGCTCCAGCCTACTATGCAGTAGTAGTCATGGTTTTTGCAATAAAGCATGCAAAATAGAATCCAAATTAGGTCTGGTAAGAGGTAGCGAGCGACACGTGACCCAAAAATTTGTTTGCTATTATTACGGCGAGCAATTTTTTATCTATCAATCTCGGGGCAAGTCATAAACTTGCTATATAAATATAATTAGTTTCCAATATTGGATTTGATAGATGATGGAACAAACAATTTCTTATATAATTAATTAAATGCTGGGTGAAGGCTGCCCATTTGCATCATCATAAACAACCAGAAAATAAGTTTATTTCTCCGGACCCGTTCAAATTCGCAAAGTACAGATTCAGAACATTCACAAAATACCTGATTTTATTGACTTTTTCGAGGCACATATTTGTATAGACCTGTGTATAATAAAAATTTATTACCAACAACATCATTTCACTTGATTATTAAATGCATTCAAACCTTATTCAGGAAAGCGTAAAAGAAAAGGAAATGGGAAAAAGGCGAAAAAGGAAAAAAGAAAGCAATGGAAAAAATTCATCAATTATTTCAACAAGAGAACCTTTGCGCAAACAAAGGTGAACATCACAGAAGATTACAAACAGCTAAACTTAAACGAACCGGACTTTGAAGTAAATCCCCAACTAAGAGAAGTGCCACTTTTCTACAGAGGAGAAATGGCCCCCAAGACTAGGCAATATAATATCGAGACTGGATTCACTGTTAAAGCAAATGAAGAAAAAGTTGGAAAACCTATTTCTCAGAATGAACTCATAGAACAATTAGGCAACAAAAAATACAGGTATATTGCCATATTGGGACAGGCAGGGGGCGGGAAATCAACAAGTATGAAACGCCTCGCACGAACACTTCATATCATAAACAAATTAGGAGAAGAAGCCCAAGCCGATGAAGCATTGCAGCTGGAACATCGCTTTGAATTTATTCATCACTTGAACATCAAAGATATCCCCGTTTTGAAAGGAACTACACGAGATGAAGCCATCAGTCCATGTGAACTTCTTTTTGGGAAAGAAGCTTCAGGACTCTCACCACAAGAATTGAAAGACGGCTATGAACGGCTGCAACAAAATCAATCAAAGTCAATTCTTTTCCTTGACGGACTTGATCAAGCAACTTGGAGTCTTCTGGGAAAACACAACAAGATGAAATATACTGATAAATCTAGCACAGCAACTGTCATGTACAATATCATAACAGGCAATCTCTTTCCTGACATGACGATCGTGATTTCTTCGCGCGAGTTCAGAGTGGCATCACTCCCATCAGAATTGAGGCCGCAATTCATAACTGCCCTTGCTGGTCTGGCTCAAAATGATATCAAGCGTTTGTTCATTGCAATTATAGGAGACAGCGGTGAAAAAGCTTGGGAGAAATTAACAATGCAGTCGCCCGCACTTATCCCGTTATCATCTGTTCCTCTTTTTCTAATATTCAATGCAATCGTTTGCAAGGACAACCCAGATAATCCACCAGATACTATGACTGAGGTAATGCTGCAAATCCTCCACATCTTCATACGATCCGCTCATGCCCGTAAAAAGGAAAAAATTGAAGAAACACTCCAGAAACTAATGCAAATGTCATTCGAAGGCACAAAAGAAAATCGAGTCATTTTCACAATCAAGGATCTCGAAAAAGTAAAGCTTAGTCCTCTTGAGGTTCAGGACTTTGTCATCAAGGTACCTGGGAAAAATATGTTCAACCAGCATCTCATGGAAGGAGACCATCTAATGTTCTTCAGCCATCAAATCTTTCAAGAAGTATTATCCGCTCTCTATATTTCAAGCATGGATTCTACTACGTTTCGCACCTTTATCGAAACTGAGATTCGAGACGATCATTGGGCAGTTGTTCGTCGTTTTCTAAGTGGAATCATTCTGAATCCTGATATTGAAAGCAGTCTCATAACAAATCTTTCTTCTGGTAATATTTCTTATAAGTAATATTTCATGTGATCATGTCTTTTACACCAATTTTGAATTAGTTTGACAACTAGGATTTAACTACTTGGAAGGAAAAGTCAACAAGGAGGATTTATCATGTACTGAATTGTGGCCTTCTAGTCTAGTGAATGACCAAACCATGACCAATCAGCAGATACTTTTTATTTCACTCTATAACTCTGCGAAGTCCAATTATGCCTTATGTCCAAAATTATCCCCACACAACTCAAACCTGCGTCTACCATATATGGTAATCATAATACTTTTATAATTACCAGGTGCCAGACAAGATGATAAAAGAGAGGTTCTAAGAAAATTTCTCAAATCTCAATCAAGTCAAAAAATGAAATTGTATGAAAAGTTGGAGCTGTTTGCGACATTATACGAAGCTAATGACACCGATCTTATTCGTTCCTGCATCAAGGACATCAATTTTTCTAACACATCCTTCACTACAGTCGGAATGCATGCAATGTCATCGGTTATGCGACGTTGCAGCCAACTAGATCAGGTTCGCCTCGTCAATTGTGGTCTCAATGCCGAGTTGGTTCATATCCTGAAGTACAATCTAAATGGTTCTTCTTTAAAGGTAAACATATAGTTCTAAACTTAGTGGATTGTGATTGGAATATTTTATCATAATTTCAAGCATTGGTTGTGATGTGCATGATTTTCAAAATAAATTTTTTTAATGAAAAAATCAATTCTTATTTTGTACTCATCCCCATAACAATAAAAATAATTTTTTATAAATTATTATTCTACGCAAAGATGAATGGTCTGATTTAAAATCAAAGTTTACTGGCTCAGACTAACTTTCCCTTCGCTATAGTATCAGGGAAATCACTTTGGTTGCAATATGCGATGAGTCCAAGGACGTAGCTCGCCCATAATATTGGAATGGTTAATTTTTTTTCACACTCACTGACTCATTCGTGCTTTTCACTCCAAACAAGACCAGGTACAAGCTGCCACTGATAATTTAAAGAAGGTCTCCACAAACTTACTTCGCTGTCGAAGTTATTCAATCTATCTTGATTGGTTCGTTTGAAGCAGAGAGGGCAAAATTGCCCTCATAAGGGCGGTTGTTGTTTGCGACAACTGGGGGGTCTGACTGCAAATTAGCCAATTGGAGACCCCTGATTGTGTATCTGGGCGATTGGGAGCACTGATATCAAATTGGTACCATCTCCACGTTGCGACAAAATTGGCTCATTTTCTTACTTGAGTCATTGAATAACTAGTTTACATATCTAATACCTAAATTCTCGAATTGCTAAAATCTAGCCTGATGCGATGCATGAAGTGTCTGACATTGTGTTGTGTAAGTTGATAATATCGAAGACAGTGATCAATGCAGCTTATTTAATGGATTTAGATTGAAACATTATAATAGCCTTAGTTTCAAAGCTCCAAAATGAGTTTGCAAAGCGAAAATGTAGGCAATGTAGTAAGCTTTACCTCCAATATGGCTTATTCTGGTTTGCAACGATGCGTTTGTTGTATCATAAAACTTTATGTAGCAATAAAACCGTCCAGACTTTCTCAGCATATAACAAAAATTAATTTGGGAAAGCAGGAGAAATTTTTTTGTGTTTCAGACACTTTGGGGAAATTGAAAAAAGCAAAAAACCATTGGACTGAGCCATGGGTGGCCGACATGTTTTAAGTGGTCAATCGCGTCTGATGTTGAATGAATTTATTATCATATCCCCCAAAATTGCCTTGAACCAGTTTCATGCAGAATTAAAATTTTATTGTCTTATGCATTGGCCTACATGTGTGAGGCGGTATTTTCAGCTCTCACCAATATGATGACAAAATACAAGATGAGATTTTCCGTATAGTCGGAATAGTGTTGAAAAAACTCGCGAGTTTGTGTTTCACTGCAAATGCCGCAAAATCTTCTTGAGAAAGTTTGGGAAGGGGAAGTGATGGAGGGACTTGCTATGCCATGGGGGTCCAAACCACGGCCTGCAGCATGATTATCATGCCTGCAGCATTGGCTGGAATGTAATTAAAAATCATTTGATGTTTTTTAGTCAAAAAAAATAACCAGAATAATCGTTTAACATATTGTCACATCACTAATGTCATTAAATTGACTGGTACAATAGCCAGCAAAGTTGAATAATGTGGTCAGCTAGTCTAAATTGTTGTATAGCTTTATATCTTTTCAAACGGGAATGTATGCTAACAATATAGGCAACATAGAAGACTAGAAATCGAATGGCGAATCTATTAGGCTAGGTTGGGTATTCTTACTGAAAGCTAAATATTATTGTTATGGCCGAACCTAACAACATAGTCCAGCCTAAAAAGTGTTACAAAAACTGCCACCTCTGTATTGAAAAATTTAGTAATTACCCTCCTGTACCCTCACATTTGGCAAAAGTTGGTAATCAATCAAACTGTAGTTATTTGTAAGTTATTTTATAATTGTGAGTTTGAAAAGAAAGTTCAGACAGATTTTCAACTGTATATGAGAAGAAAAATACCACAATGCTTGATATGTCCGCCAGTTGTGCCAAAAAATACAATCTACAATCTATTTCGGAATCTTGCGAGCAATGAGCATTTTTCGACGAGAATTTGTCTTGGGAATCTTATCAATGTTACATTAGCAAAAGCACTTTTATTATTAAAGAACCTGGAATCTTATACTAAATGTTGATTTAGGAAGTGTTTTGCATGTTTAATGAAGTTTTATGGTGATTTTCCCATGTTTTAGCTTGATAAATCACAAATAATGGTCAATGTGTTTACGCGAAAAAAGTATATGTTTCATATTGCGCTGCTTACCGTACTCATTCTTTGCATTATTGTGGCCTGTGAACAAATGCAAAAATAATTTTTTGGCCTCCGAAGCTGACAACCTGGGACCACCCTGGGCTATGCCTAAGAATTGATCATACTTAAGTGATAAAAGTGAGTCCTCTCAAAGATAAGTCATAGGCATAGGAGCAGTTACAGGGGTTTGAAAGTCCTTGAACCATTCGTATGTCATGAAGTCTTTCCTTCACATGTACAAATTATTATAGTTCACTCAGGTATTAAAATTCCAAGTTAAGCTATGTGTAGTAACTATGTATAGTCAATGATGGTTATACCTTATATCCCATTTAATAGAAAACTTAATGTTTACCTGAAAGCATTGCTTGCTTTGCATTGTATGTACTTCTGTGTGATAGCGTTCAAGATGTTTTCCGCTTGTGAAAATGTTGTTGTGACAAACCTCAAAATTCTGAGCTGTATATTTATGCCAATGTTGATATTCATACTCTATTGTCCATCATAATCTTATCCTTATGTTTCTATAACTATCGAATGGCGCACCCAGAGAGTTGCTGGTTGATAACTTGATACCACTTTAATATTGTATGTCGTTATATATAAATAAAAACAAAACTTCATACTCTGTCAATTGAAGACTGTTAGATTTTCTATAAACTTGCACAAAATCAGATAATCCAGATCAGGACTCTGGTTTTAATTGTTTAAAATGTTGGAGTTCAACAAAAGCTACCCAGAACAGTTTAGGAGTTTAGTTTAGTATGTCTAGATGATATGTTATACCACCGCCTCTTGTTAGATTACCACTCAATGTTGGGTATAAGATTAGTTAGCCATTTATTTATATCCAGATGCATGGACTTGATGGTGGAGGAAGCCGTAACCAACCAGCGGTTACCTCATCCACCCCTACGGTGTTGAGGGGTTTTGCAATCCTCTAGCACTTAATTATCTTCACAGAAATCGAACCTGTGAACACATGCAGAGTAATCAGAGGGGCGGTGGCAACTGCATTTCTGATGCTTAGCTCGATGCACCACCCGCCATACCATAAAATAATTTAATATAAAATTATTGCTAATATCTATTGGATAATATCATATTCAACGAGTATTGGTCCGTGAATCTGAATAAAAATCATAAGTCCAATGCTTTAAAAATAGGGACAGAATGGTCTAATGACTACACCAAATTTTAATTTATTATGGAGATACTGAATTTTCTACAATAATTTCTTAACATTGGTTAATCAGCAAGATTTTGACAGGGATGTGTGACAATTAAAATTTTAGAGACTCAAGACACATTTTTCCCCATGCAGGTTGGCAAAAAAATATTTTCGTTTCCAGCTAGATTTATCTAGATTCCCTATTAGCTTTTAACATGCACATTGAAAATAATCATATTTTTTTTTGAAATTTTGCCCCTTTTTTGGGCATTGCAACATAAAAACTTTTATTATAACACAATCTGGCGCTATCTTATAGTGCTGGTGCTATTACAGAAATGTTTTCCTTGTATTCCATGTAAAGAGTCTTTACAATCAAATGTTGAATAATTTTTGGAAATTTTTTCTTTTTGTTGTTTTGGTGCTCTCATAGTATTCGTAACAGGGCATTATTCCTTAGGATACTTTACCTTTCTTAGTTCCCACATTGGTACGAATACTTCCGGAGTGGTATTTTTCCAGTTTCAAATTTTGAATAAATAGTTGAAGCTGTTGTCTGCTATAAGGCTTCTACTTACCGGCACAATTTTTTCAAGAATTATAATTTTTTTCTGTGTAGAATATTTCAACCAAAATTTTTTTCCTAATTCATTGGTAACAATTGCAAGTCAGTTTCGAATCTTGCGAGGGAGGATTGAAGAACTGTTTGAAACTTTTTTTGTGTGTAAAGAGAGTCATAGAGAGATAGTACCAATCTTTTTAAACAACCTATTAACTGGAACGATGAAATAACATTTAAATGTTATGAAGCTTGAACAGTGTGATAAGTACTACACTGCTCATCCAAGGGTTGGTTAACAGGTGTGTTTCCAGTCTGGTGTCGTTTTTTTTGTTCCCCGAATTGGCAAAACCGAAGGGTCATACCCAGGGTTGCCATCTACCCAGAGTAAAAAATAAGCACGGGCGTCAAAAAGGAGATCATACACCAGCCTTCCAATTTTGATCATTAGAAGTCGCTTCGAACACGGCTGTACGCAGCTCCGAAATCGCAAAAAGCTATGGAGTCACTGCGACACGCAATCTCTAAAGCAGGGGCAACTTTTTGTCGCTCGGGGGCCAAAATCAAGTGTTACAAATCTTGGCGGGCCGCACATATTTTTTTGAAAAAGTTAAAAACTGAACGGGTGGATGATGAACCACATTATTTATACAGACTAAAAATGGCCATAACCGAATACTGGACTACTCTGAATACATTCTAAAAAATATTTTCGAATCTGGAATTTCGAATACATTCTAAAATCCCACAAAGCATAAAAGTTATTAACTTCTTTAAAATTCAAGGACATAGCAATTAGGTAAGCTTCAATAATATTATCATAATAAAGCAATTTGTTTAGTTGAAATGCATGTATATGTAAGGTATGTATAATCGTTTGATATATGAACAAAAATCATTTGGCAATATATTTATAGGTAATGTCGGATTAAAAGGACTTTTTTGTGTATCACTGTCATAATTGAGATTTATTGGAGGCCCACTATTGGCT